AGGGCAAGTAATAGAAAATAATATAGTAAATTATAATATCTTATAATTCGTTGCGCATATGTTTATAATTATCATTTTTGATTGTAAAATGGCTTTTTCTTACTTCTTTTATTAGATCTCCGAAAACGCTGAACGTGCCTTCCCAAAACTTTTATCAGTTGACGCTTCGTTCTCCCAAAAACTTAATTACCATTTTTGGCACTTTTCGCCCCCTATCTTGGAAACAGCTCTTCTTATCAATAGGAATCGAATGCTTTCCAAATTATTTAAATCAGTTAATCTGTGTTCTCGAAATCATCGACGAAAAATTGTATCCGCACATATATACACACACGCATATACATACATATACACACATACTTTTCTTTTTTCTAATGTCTGCCAAAATGTTCGGAAGGTTTTGAATCGTGAAGATATATAAAAATATTCATTTTCGATTTATTTTTGCGATTATTATAACTTACCCTAAGTGAAGTTAATAAAAAAGTTTATTAAGTTAATGTTAAGTAACTTGTGTTATACAAAAGAGAGTAATAAAATAGATTGTTACCTTCTGGATTTCATTTCTTTCATTCGACTATTTAAAGTGCATGCCAAATCATTTAAAGTAGGAAATCATTTTATTTATATGCATTTTAAAAATGATATGATTTTTTCAGTTTTATAATATATGTAACTTGATGCGAAATATTCAAGAACAGAATTTATTATTTGAATATCTTATTACCCAACGTGACTTATAATAATAAATATTAAAGGTTTTTAGTCCAAATTAGAAGCAAATTGATTAATTTAAAGATTTAGAACTAATTTCTGCCCTCCTCCCTGTCAGGATTTATAAACTTTTATCAGATGATGTTTCATTGTTCATTTACAACCTTGAATCACGAGTTCGACTTGCTGTCTCAATTTTTTTATTTATTTCAACTGCACAATAGACTTATGATAAAATGTCTGCAATCAGCAGCCGTCGTTGATAACTCGTCGCGTATAAACCGATTTTTTCTTCGCGCCGATGACCCTGTTATAAAATTTGCGTAGACGATTGTGATTCAGGACATTAGAAATCTCTAGAATATAACAATACCGAAATGACTGGACAGAAAATAAGATTTTATTCTAACGAATGGTTATCAAAATTATCAGCTTGTAATATATCATTTTAATTGTTGAAACGCGTGCTAATTTTCCGGTCTTTAAAATGCCAGACATCACTCAAAATGCATATTGATTAGAATTGATAATAATAATAGTTACAACTATTTCCAAATCATTTTGTTTATTTGACTGCGCTTTCTTTTTCATTCTTTTGTATATTATCTTTCAATGCATTGCATTTTTTTCTATTTATGTTTTAAAGAACTAATAATTAAATTACTCATAAAAACAAAAATAAAAAAATATTTTATAATAAAATTAATGAAGATTTTATATCTTCATTTATAACAATTTTAAATTTCCGGTGCATAATATAGGATAGGGCGGGGCACTAAGTTACAATTTGATTTGAGCAATTATATTGTGAAAATATTATATGACAACAAGTAGCACATATCAAACAAACAAATATCTGACTATATTCTGTAAATATTCCAGGTACGTTATCATTTTAGAAATGTGTTATTTTCTCTTGAAAATTGCTCTTTTTAACTTAATTTACTTTTTTATTCACTATTTTTTATTGCTTACACCTTTGCCACGGTAAAGGTTCAGTTGATCTTTTTCACCCTACCCACGTGTTAGTTTTTATATATACAATTAAATAACGTATAATAAAAAAAATATTAAGGTCTCGTAAACTAAACAACGGGGCTTACAACCAAAACAACGACGGAAAATACTTTTGTTATAGATTATCAAACATTGCCGTTTATCTCCCAATTAAGTCGTAAGAATTAAGACGATGACTGGTTATACATCTTTTATCCTCTACTTTTAAATATTGTTGTTAAAAAAATCCTAACTTTACTTGTTTTTGAAATATCGGTGGTGAACCTTTTTACTCGCGGATCTTTAAGCCCAGCTCTAGCCTATCTCATAGGTTTATTAACTTTATGATACAGAATGTCTAGGACTTAACGTCAGGCCGAAACGGGGTGATAGTATTGACATTAACTGTCCCGACATAATTTAGAAAAAAATATCTCACGCTGTTTCAAAATTACAAGCTTTTAAGTGCAACCTAGAGCTCTAGTAAAATTATGATCATTTTTCGGTTATTGTGGGTAATTTTTATTACTTTTTTTTTCTTTCAGACTTTGGAACCGTAACCGTGAAAACATTTCTAGGACCACAGTAAAAAATAATAACATATTTGTTGCAAGTTTTCAAGAATTAACCTTTTTGTTGAACTATGAATTCAAAATGTTTATAATAGGTCGACTTTGAGAGAGTGCCGATCTCTTAAAAAAAACTACTAAAGTGTGTTGCCAAATTTCATCAAAAGTTGACGCATTTAATCAGGATTGTGAATTCAATTGACAGTTTTATAATAACAAATTTTGAGTAGAAAATAAAAGCCTAGTGCATTTTACTCATATAGATAACAATCAGTTCAAATTTTTGTTCTTTGTTATGCACGAAAGCTTTAATGTGCTAGAGAAAAACATTTGAAATTAATGTGAGCAAAATCCGTTGGTCGTTTTGTGCTATTTTTCGGTTTTCATATTTTGACTTGTTTTTCTTTTTCAAAATTATGATGATCAAATATTTCACCATTTTAATATCTTGATACCACCGGCTGAGCCGTTTCCTTAAAATTAGCAAAAAAGAGCAACATTTTTAGTCGAGGTTATAGCTAAAAATCCTGAATCGATTTCGAAATTTCAAAAACTATTCGAAAGATATCATACGAAGATCGTGCTGATTAGTGTTTGTCCAAGATCGGCCAGGTCGTTTCTTTGTTATTGATTGTTAAAAAAAGTTTTTTGACGTTTTTAATGAAAATTTGTAAGGCGATAGAGCGCATGGTCTTTATGAACATTCTAAAATATTATAGTCCTTCGAAAAATGGTTCAATTTTTAAAAATTAATTAAAACTGAAATTAAACGGCCGCCCTTTTAGAATATACTCTGTGTATGTATTAGACATGTGTTAGTAATGTAATATAATTTTTGTTACAAAATTGAATCTGCAAAAGATTCTCAAGATTCTCAGGAAGTTCATCATTATGCATAGGACAAAATGCCACTTGCAGCTTGTTATTTATTTATTAAAAAAGTATTGTTTGTTTGTACATCAATATATATGATCTATTGCGTTTTTCTTTTTCTTTTGTAATTTTGTTTATTTTTTAGTATAATTAACATAATTAATTTAATGTTTTTGATTTTATTGCGTTTCATTTTTTCATTTCATTATACTATAATATTTAACAAAAATATGCTTTATTTATTATTATTTAAACGAAGCTATAATTTATTTTAATTTATTCTTTATTTTTGGCTAATTTTATGCATTTTCCATTAGTAATATAAATATATAAATTTAAACTGAAATTGCATAATGAATAATTAATATTGCTTTAATCAGTTCACCATATTATATATTCGCTGTTATGTTTACAAATATCACATTACCATAGCATAACAATAATTTAGCATGTTACATCCTCGTGATACTATTGCATGTAATATTTTAAATTTAATTTTAATCGGATATAGAGTTTAATTAAACTTTTGGAAATATCGCGAACTGTTTTCGTAACAGAAATGTAAAATTATTCAAAGTGGTATAAAATTTAATGCATTCTGCTCCGTTATTTTGCACAATTCAGTATTATTTTGTCAGTACTAGTTACGGAAGTTTCTATGAGTCTTCAGATGCAAATGAGTATTTATTATTAAATACAACTAAGAAAATAATTGCTGTTTTCAAATATTTTCTTTTGTTATTACAGTTCTCTAGTTCTTAAAATATATATAGCATATAGCTCTGACTAATTACCACCAATTAGTTTTTGCGTATATTATTTTGCTCTGTCATAACGATGATTTGTTTTCAAAAAATTTCGTTTGGTACGGTTGTGACATGTGATTGTGGTTCTTGTCCTTTTCGGGTGAAAATTAAACAGATAAAGAAAAATTTGATTCAACTAACAATAAGACAAAGGGAACGGAAAAGGAAAATTTAATATAAGAATAAAAAATATTTTACAAAGATTTCTTGTTAACATTTCTTTAAAAAAATGTTTTGTTTAAAAAAAAGTATGCTTTGTTTAAATGATTGCGTTATGCAACATATAACATAATCATGCCGAAATAGCTCAGTTGGGAGAGCGTTAGACTGAAGATCTGAACGTCCGTGGTTCGATCCCTGGTTTCAGCAAAATGTATTGTCATTTCTTGACAAGATGTTATACAAACATTTAGCATGAGCATTTTCTAGAAATTTGACTTCATTCCGCTGTCTCCTCTGGCCTTTCAGTGTCTTTTGTACATCTGAAATAGCTCGGTAGGGAGAGCGTTAGACTAAAGATCTAAAGGTCCCTGGTTCTATCCCTGGTTTCGGCAAAATCTTTTGTCATTTCTTGACAAGATGTTATACAAACTCTATACAACATCAGCATATTCTAGAAATTTGACTTCTTTCCGCAGTCTCCTCTGGTCTTTACAGCGTCGTTTGTGAAGCCGAAATAGCTCAGTTGGGAGAGCGCTAGACTGAAGATCTAAAGGTCCCTGGTTCGATCCCTGGTTTCGGCAAAATCTTTTGTCATTTCTTGACAAGATGTTATACAAACATTTAGCATCAGTATTTTCTAGAAATTTGACTTCTTTCTTCTGCCTCCTCTGGTCTTTAGAGTTGTGTTTGTGCAGCCGAAATAGCTCGGTTGGGAGAGCGTTAGACTGAAGATCTGAAGGTCCCTGGTTCGATCCCTGGTTTCGGCAAAATCTTTTGTCATTTCTTGACAAGATGTTATACAAACATTTAGCATCAGCATTTTCTAGAAATTTGACTTCTTTCTGCTGTCTCCTCTGGTCTTTACAGTGGTATTTGTGCAGCCGAAATATGTTAGTTGGGAGAGCGTTAGACTGAAGATCTGAAGGTCTCTGGTTCGATTCCTGGTTTTGGCAAGATGTTTTGTCATTTCTTGACAAGATGTTATACAAACATTTCGCATCAGCATTTTCTAGAAATTTGTGTGTTTTGTGCAACCGAAATAGCTCAGTTGGGAGAGCGTTAGACTGGAGATCTAAAGGTCCCTGGTTCGATCCCTGGTTTCGGCAATATCCTTTGTCATTTCTTGACAGGATCTTATACAAATATTTAGCATCAGCATTTTCTAGAAATTTGACTTCTTTCTTCTGTCTCCTCTGGTCTTTACAGTGTCGTTTGTGCAGCCGAAATAGCTCAGTTGGGAGAGCGTTAGACTGAAGATCTAAAGGTCCCTGGTTCGATCCCTGGTTTCGGCAAAATGTTTTGTCATTTCTTGACAAGATGTTATACAAACATTTCGCATCAGCATTTTCTAGAAATTTGTGTATTTTGTGCAGCCCAAAAAGCTCAGCACAAACATTTAGCATCAGCATTTTCTAGAAATTTGACTTCTTTCTTCTGTCTCCTCTGGTCTTTACAGTGTCGTTTGTGCAGCCGAAATAGCTCAATTGGGAGAGCGTTAGACTGAAGATCTAAAGATCCCTGGTTTCGGCAAAATATTTTGTCATTCCTTGACAAGATGTTATATAAACATTTAGCATCAGCATTTTCTAGAAATTTGACTTCTTTCTTCTGTCTCCTCTGGTCTTTATAGTGCCGTTTGGGCAGCCGAAATAGCTCAGTTGGGAGAGCGTTAGACTGAAGATCTAAAGGTCCCTGGTTCGATCCTGGTTTCGGCAAAATCTTTTGTCATTTCTTGACAAGATGTTATACAAACATTTCGCATCAGCATTTTCTAGAAATTTGTGTATTTTGTGCATCCGAAATAGCTTAGTTGGGAGAGCGTTAGACTGAAGATCTAAAGGTCCCTGGTTCGATACCTGGTTTCGGCAAAAATTTTGTCATTTCTTGACAAGATGTTGTACAAACATTTAGCATCAGCATTTTCTAGAAATTTGACTTCTTTCTTCTGTCTCCTCTGGTCTTTACAGTGTCGTTTGTGCAGCCGAAATAGCTCAGTTGGGAGAGCGTTAGACTGAAGATCTAAAGGTCCCTGGTTCGATCCCTGGTTTCGGCAAAGTGTTTTGTCATTTCTTGACAAGATGTTATACAAACATTTCGCATCAGAATTTTCTAAAAATTTGTGTATTTTGTGCAGCCCAAAAAGCTCAGCACAAACATTTAGCATCAGCATCTTCTAGAAATTTGACTTCTTTCTTCTGTCTCCTCTGGTCTTTACAGTGCCGTTTGTGCAGCCGAAATAGCTCAGTTGGGAGAGCGTTAGACTGAAGATCTAAAGGTCCCTGGTTCGATCCCTGGTTTCGGCAAAATCCTTTGTCATTTCTTTACAAAAGGTTATACAAACATTTAGCATCAGCATTTTCTAGAAATTTGTGTATTTTCTGCAGCCGAAATAGCTCAGGTGGGAGGGCGTTAGACTGAAGATCTAAAGGTCCCGGGTTCGATCCCTGGTTTCGGCAAAATCATTTGTTATTTCTTGACAAGACATTATACAAACATTTAGCATCAGCAATTTCTAGAAATTTGACTTCTTTCCGCTGTCTCCTCTGGTCTTTACAGTGCATTTTATTCAGCCGAAATAGCTCAGTCGGGAGAACGTTAGACTGAAAATCTAAAGGTCCCTGATTTCGGCAAAATTTTGTCATTTTTTGACAACATGTTATACAAACATTTAGCATCAGCGTTTTCTAGAAATTTGATTTCTTTCCGCAGTCTCCTCTGGTCTTTACAGTGTCGTTTGTGAAGCCGAAATAGCTCAGTTGGGAGAGCGTTAGACTGAAGATCTAAAGGTCCCTGGTTCGATCCCTGGTTTCGGCAAAATGTTTTGTCATTTTTTGACAGGATGTTATACAAACATTTAGCATCAGCATTGTCTAGAAATTTGACTTCTTTCTGCTGTATCCTCTGGTCTTTACAGTGTCGTTTGTGCTGCCGAAATAGCTCAGTTGGGAGAGCGTTAGACTGAAGATCTAAAGGTCCCTGGTTTCGGCAAAATCTTTTGTCATTTATTGACAAGATGTTATACAAACATTTAGCATCAGCGTTTTCTAGAAATTTGATTTCTTTCCGCAGTTACCTCTGGTCTTTAAAACAGTTGGTTTTAAACAGCCGAAATAGCTCAGTTGGGAGAGCGTTAGACTGAAGATCTAAAGGTCCCTGGTTCGATTCCTGGTTTCGGCAAAATCCTTTGTCATTTCTTGACAAAAGGTTATACAAACATTTAGCATCAGCATTATCTAGAAATTTGTGTATTTTGTGCAGCCCAAAAAGCTCAGCACAAACATTTAGCATCAGCATTTTCTAGAAATTTGACTTCTTTCTTCTGTCTCCTCTGGTCTTTACAGTGTCGTTTGTGCAGCTGAAATAGCTCAGTTGGGAGAGCGTTAGACTGAAGATCTAAAGGTCTCTGGTTTCGACCCTGGTTTCGGCAAAATCTTTTGTCATTTCTTGACAAGATATTATACAAACATTTCGCATCAGCATTTTCTAGAAATTTGTGTGTTTT